TCCGCAGTGCTTACTTCATCGCTCAGCTGGCTGACGCAGAGAAAACGACTTTCTGTCGGCGTACGCCGGCAGCTTGGTGCGTTCTGGTCCGAGGCCCGGCAGCGGACAGATGGACACAAAACGCATTCACGTGTTCAAACTGATCCCATCAATTTGTGTTTAGATCATCTGTCCCAGCCTTCCCCCTCTACTCCTTCAGTCCTCCAGTTCGGAGCAGCTCGTTAGTTCCCAAAAAGTGTGTCCTTGTTGTATTTCTCTTCATTCCTGATAATCTGCAAAACCTGTTAAAATCCCAACGGGCGACCGCCGCTGATCGCACCCATCTGTCCGTTTTCTGTCCCCCCCTGTCTGTTTATATAAGCCCTGCCTCCCCCCGCTCAGAAAATGTGCTTGTGTGGGATCAGTGTCTGCATATTTGAAAATTCAAGTTTGTGAAGGTTAGAGATGCGTTTTTGTGGACAGAAGGAGCAACAATGGACGCCTTTTAGGTCCAAAAACAGTGGAGTGTGTGTGTGTGTGTGTGTGTGTGTGTGTGTGTGTGTGTGTGTGTGTGTGTGTGTGTGTGTGTGTGTGTGTGTGTGTGTGTGTGTGTGTGTGTGTGTGTGTGTGTGTGTGTGTGTGTGTGTGTGTGTGTGTGTGTGTGTGAATGTGCTCGACTGTCCAGCGTTGGCTAAGGCAGAGTGTACATTTGGCTGAATGTTTGCCTGTCCATTACCCCAGACACAGCGAATCTTCACAGCGTCCCTTTATTTGACAACAGCTTCACAGCTGTGGGCGACTCACGTGATCTGCTCGATATCTCCATGCAGTCATTCTTTTTAAAACACAGAAACAGTTTTGTTTACCTGTTTTGTCGCTACGTTTCGGCGGCGGCTGCAGGCTTCTTCAGGCTGACGCTGATCAAAACAGGTAAACAAAACTGTTTCTGTGTTTTAACCCTCTGATGCATGAATTATGAAATCTTCAACCATGATTTTTTAAACAATTTTTTTCATTCATCTTTAGGTGTGAATGAAACAAATTTCAACAAAAAAAATTTTGTAACATTTTGTTAATTTACAAATAATTTATTACATGTCCACCTCAGTGGACAGCGTGCATTCTGAACATGAAATGTGTTGGCTTGACTTACTGAAGTCCAAATGGAGGGGCTCAAATGCAATAAAGTCTTCAACAGCTGTGCTTGATAACAAAAATAAAGAAATAACAATTTTGAGTACCTGTCCACTGTAGTGACCATTATGCATCAAAGGGTTAAAAAGAACGACAGCATGGAGTTAGAACCACGACACAGCAAGAACACACCTAAGATGCTCGATATCTTCTTTGACGTGACGAAACAGAACTCGTTGCAGCCAGCGTTCCCGCTCCGTCAGCACGTTTGTTACCAACACATCTAACTCGACACGTCTCCCTTTGTTCGAGTGGATTTCCACGTGTACGGTTGATAATAAAAGTGGTGATAGAAAGCCAAGAGTGGGAGCCAGCCAGGCTGGGCTGTGCTCCTCTAACTTTCATTATCCTGTAAAATGTGAAGGGTGACACAGCTTTGCTTTTATAATAGCACCTGTGCTTGTTCCTAATCAGCTGATCGTAAACTATCGGTTTGAGTTGCGTTTACAAACATCTTTACGCGGTCTGAAACACGCCGTTCCCTGTTATTAAGTCAAATAAAGTCACACTCATTTATCAAGTGCTTTTAACAAAATAGGGTCATCGCAAAGTGCTTTATAAAGAGACAAAGGACATAATTACAGACACAAAGAAAACACAGCGTATCAGTGCGCTGAGTGTGAGTGTGTGTTTGTATATTTGAAGAGTCCCTGTGTGAGCCCCCCCCCCCATGGCTGTATTTGTTTTTGTCGCAGTGTGTGCGGAAGCGATGGTAAATTGTATCCCCTATCCCCCCTTCCTCACTTTTTTCGACTTTCTTCCCCTCTTTCTCAACCAAATCAAATTTTTAATGGGCTTCATTGGTGCCACCGTGGAATAAGTGTTGCCAAAGCACTTAAGGGGCTTAAGTCAGCAGCGTGCTGAAAATATTAAGCACTCAAACAGCCTTACAAGGATGCCTGCCTGCTTAAGTATGCCGAGGAGGTCGTGGCAGCGTTTAATAGCAATGGTATTAAAGCCCTCCGACAAGACGAAGCAACAGAAATGTTGAGACATACAATGTGTACCACAACTGGGAGTCCGATGGAGAGATGATGGCTGGCTGCTATAGTGGAAGGAGCCTGTGACGGCACAAGGGATGGTTAACGTGACACAACGGGGCGGAAGAACAGACCAAAAAAAACAGAACAGAAAAGCAACTAGAAGTAGTTGAGAATGAGGGGAAAGAAATAAAAGGAAAAGAAAGAAGCAATGTAGCGGAGGAGAGATACGAGGGAATTGGGCCAAGGTGTGGGAGGTAAGGGCTGATGGAATAGCTGTGAACCAGCAGCAGAGGGCTAATGCAGAGATTCTATCGGGAGGCTTATCCAAGATTAAATTTCTCTTTGTCCTTAAGGCACTTCTTGGGTTAGCGGAAGTGTCGAATTTATTTCTTATGTCTCCCTTGAGGTTGTTGCGGGCAAGCGGGTAGAAACGTGTGTGTGTGTGCATGCGTGTGTGTAAGGATGTGGTTTCTAAGTATGAAGGGAAGAGGAGGGGTGTACATGTGAGTAGATGTGAATCCCAGGGGTTTATTAGCTGGCAAAGTGCAAAAGAGGGCATGTGCTCGTGAAAGGTAATGATAAATCAAATGAACGCCTCCCCAAGGGTGTTTCAGCGGGAGGGAACATCCAAGTATTAGCACGGTTAGATTCATGTAGACAAGCAAAAGCATACATATACAGATTTTATAACTAACCCTCACCCCAGGGACGACAAATGCTGGCGTTTTATCAAAGCCAAAAGCTGGGGATACAAGCACCCCTGGCATTGCGTTTCATCCTGATGCATCACCTGCAGGGATTTCTGTCTCTGGCAGCCAACGCCGACATTAAAACAAGCAGCTACCTCTGTATTTGGATTAAAGGCCCAACATTCCTTGAAGGAACACATTTCACCCACCGCCGTTCTTTCCAAAGTTTGGAATTAAACTTATGTTGTGCTGAGAATTGATGGCGCCATAACCAATTTAGTTACATCTTCAGAAATAAGGTTGTATACAATCTTGTGCATTAGTGCAAGGTCACACACGATCTGTTACCATTCAAGATTGTGGTGAGAATGACCATGTTGCTCATGTAAAAATGACCATTTAGCCATATTGTGTTTTCTAGAGGTGATGAGCTGTGGCAGCCATCTTGAAATAGGTTGGCTCATAAACCCTGATTTATACTTCTCCATCTGCGTGGGTACGTAGATGCGTAACGCCATGATGCATCAACGCAACGGCTCTGCGGCAGGCCTGCAGAGGTGAACAGAGACACGCCCAGTTTCCTAACTATCCGTTGAAAGTGACAGAGGCTGCAGGCCTGTGATTGGTCAGGACATCCTGACTAATCACATAAATAAAAAAACATAAAAAGCATTTCGAAGATAGCTAGCGGCAGACACTGAAGAAGCTTGAAAGTCTTGCAAAAGTCAGATGCCGTAATGACTACTGAAAGAGTTCAAAGATACGCAGCTAAATTTTTATTTGTGGTAGGAAAATATGAGAAACGTGGTTTTGGAGGTGGTGACTGGATGAGCAGGTGGAAGTGGAGAGGGACAAATCTGTCAGCATTAAAAAGTCTCTGAAATACATAAACACAATAAAAACACACTATCGCGGACCAGAGACCTCCAGGAAAGTGATGCGCCCTCTGATGTCCAGGCGTGCAATTGCCTTTCAACACTCCCCAGGCAACAAAGACATCTGAAAGAAAAGCATCCCCATCTAAGGGTGTGCAAGTCTACAACTGAAATGACAGAGAAGTAGAAACCAGCTGTAGGTGCATAACCAAAGAACCACCTTGAATGCAACACTTTCGACCCATATCCCAGTGCATTCATTACTGTGCTCTGCTGGCCTTTCCTGGACTTTTCCACTCTGTCCCCACTCATTTTTTCTTATTTCATGTTTGTCTGTCTCACTTGGGTTTAATAGCTTGCCCACAGCTATTTACAAAATAATACAACTCAGTTATGAACTCCCTAATTAGAAAAGCTACAGCTCTCCAATCTATGGCATTTACTGTGTTTTCTGAAGGCACTACTCTGGCTCACGTCATATTCCTGGGCAAAGAGATCAATACGGCCCGATCAGTCGGATGGCTTTTGAGTGACACCCCCTTTCTTACTTCACACAATTTAGATTACAAAGTTTTGATTTACTTTATTTTCCACAGCTTGTTGACAGTGCAGAAGTCTGGCATGTAAATAAAAGTCAATACTGCTCTCCACATGACACGCTAACTAGAATACAAAATACAGATACTCGGAGACAATCTTCTACAAACAGATGAAATATATATATATATATATATATATATATATACTCATTAAAGCATGGGTATGTCATTTAGCCTCACTAAAACAAATAGTCTTAAACGATTAAAATGTGATTAATCAAGATTAATCGCATTAATTAATTTCAAAGCCTCTGATTAATTAGATAAATTTTTGTTTGCACTTCTTATACATTTATCCAAATTTTATTACAATTTAAATCCTTTGTTGTAAACAAGTCAGAACTTGGCACAGCTTTTAGCTTATAAGGAGGAAAAAAGGACCAAGCCATTCGGAAGACACTATGAAATCCTATAATTAGTTTCCCTTGACATTGCATTTACTGTGCATCCAATGTGCATTAAAAGAGCTCTTTATAGCTCATTCTGCTGCAGCCAGGGAGAAAACAGAATGAACATTTTAGTTTGCAGGTTACAAAATGAAGTGAAGATGGAAAATCTTTCAGAGGGTCCGTGTGCTACATGACAGAGTTAGCTTAAGATAAATGCAAAAGAAAAAAGCATTCTCATTAAGTTTAGTTTCTTCCAACTGAATAGTAGTTGTTAGAAAATCGCTTTTAGTTA